CCTGATACACAATTAATGCTCATTTAACCACCTCATTGGTGCCTCATTCATTAAGCCACCCAAAGTATGTGGTTATGCTAGAATTGTCTAAGGTATCATAATAATAATAGCCACACTTATAGCTTAACATGTGTGTGACTTCTGTCAAATTCAATCAAATTAACTTTTTTCACCTTGATTATATTATCCCCATTCCATGGCAGAGAAAACTGAGACCTAGAGAAGGTAGAGCATTTGGCTGGGAAAAAACAAAGCTGAAATTCTATTCCAGGCAGTAAAGTTCCAGAACTAATGAAAGCCCCTAGTAGGGGTGCCTGCCAGGAAGGATCAGGGAAGGTTTATAGAACCTTCCAAACTGAGATCCAAAAGATGAGGAATTAGCCAGGAGAGGTGTGATAAAGATGTACCATGCAAGAGCTGGGAAGGAAACCACTAAGCCAAACAGAATCCCCTGGCCTTCAATTCTCCAGTCTGTGTTAAATCTTATCTTGGATAGAAAAACATTTACTTTCCTTGCTAAAACTTTCTCCTGTTTATGTTAGGGTATCTCATCTATTTAATCAGAGATCAAAGCTTCCATTTTCTCCATTAGCTGTCCTATATGACAGCTAACTTCAAAGCTTAATTGAGCCATTGGTTTCTGAAGGTTTGTTCACATGTCTTAGACTACAAATTTCATAAATTTCTCAAGTTTGGAATCTATCTTTATTTCTCCAGTATCTAATACAGTGTCTTAGTAATTATTTATTAAATAATGAATAAACAAAATTAAGGGATCCTTTAGTCTCAGAAATATAGAACAGCATCATCTGCAAGTTCCCATAGACTTATCCTTACTGTGAACCCTCTGTTATCGCTCAAATAAAATCAAACACACACACACACACAAACACTTTTTTCAGCCTGGTGATAAGCAGGAAAGATATTCAGCTATGAAAAGACACACAGTTCTTACTAAAAATTCAAAGGGTGCATTCTGAATGATCCAAGATGCTTATTCCAAGGAGAAAATGACCTGCAAACCTGTGCTTTGCTGGCAGTAGTTCTCAAACCTGCCAATGTGCCAAAATCACATTGGGAAGATTTTTTTTAAAGTATAGAAACACAAAAAGTGATCATTTACTGATTGATTCAGCTCCCCAAATCCCCACAACAGCCAGGGTGGGGCCAAAGCCAGGAGGCAGGAACTCTATCTGGGTCTCCTACATGAGCAGCAGAGAAGCAAGTACTTGAGCCAACATCTGATGTCTTTCCAGAGTGTTCCTAAAGCAGGAAGCTGCAATGGAATTGGATCCAGCCCTCACATCCAGGCTTGTGGTATGGGATGCAGGCTTCCCAAGTGAACTACACTGAGCCAATGGCCCAGTGGATGATTTTAATGCATTACCAAGATGAAGAGTTACTGGGCTAGAACCATGTTATTTCTCCCCCCTCTACCTCACACACACACGCACACACACACACACACACACACACACACACCCCAGAGTGGTAACGGAAAGAATGCTCAGGAAGTTGAAAAAGTCCTTAGCTTTAAAGTGAGCCAACATGAAGGGAAAAGGTAGTTTTCTGTATAAGTACTTCTGCTTGTCCCTGGCTCCTTATCTCAGCATCTCTAAGTTCTGTTGAAGGTAAGAGAACATTTGGTTTGTAGAAGAGAGGTAGGAGATGACCATGGATGCACTCTGGCCTCACGGAGCTTCACCCACCACTTCCTTACCATAGGTGACAACATCACATGGAGCTTATAACGTGGTTACAAAGGTCTTCATATTCAATGGTCAAAAAGAAGAAAAAGAAAACTACACTATTTTTAGCTTCAGTAGTAAAAAAGGAATAATCTCCCTATTGCAGACAGGAAGAGAAAGTTAACTGGTTCCCAGAGGAGAGCTGGGGTCAGGCACACAGCCACTGTGGTGGCGGGAAAGTGAAAAAGGCTCCAGTCAAGTCCGCCAGGAGCCACCACAGACAGTTCCTGGGTGTTCTTACTGGGTAGAAGAAAAAGTAGTCGAAGGGAGAAACTCCCTTCTCATGAGAACCCAGACTGAAAATGGCATGTGTGTGGATGCCTGCAGAAACTGCACACACAGGGTGCGTGGATGTGTGTAAAGGTACAGATTTCTGCTTTTCATCAGCTTCCCAAAGATTAAGGCTGACAAGTGGTCCTGAGCAATGTCCATTCTAAGCCGAAATACCAGTTTATCATCCACACACCCTGCTGGGTCAAAGTTCACTAGCTAAAAGGTAGCAGTGCTGGGCTTCAAGACACTACAGAAATAGATGACATTCAGCTTCTGTGCTTAGCTTCTGTCTGTCCAGAGTTCTCACTTGGCTTTCCTGTTTTCAGATGGTCTGAGTATAATAAACTGTCACCAGCTTTGTCCTCCACTCCAGCCCAGGTCTCTCCTGCCTGGTCAAAAACAGGGGTTCTCATAGTGTCTCTCTATCTCTTCTCTTTTGTCCTTGTACTCCCAGGTCTGAGTCCATTTTCTCCCATTTTTACCCAGGTCCATCACCCTGTTCCTGACCACCAAAATGCAGTGACCATGTAATCAGTTTTGAGAAGCCTTCCCCAGCCTCCTGGTATCTGGTTGCCACAATGACTTGTCACCCTTGGCATTCTGGGCTGAATTTCCAAAGTGGTGGGCAAAGGCCTGATGCCTAATGCAGCTCTCCCCTCCTGGAAAGGGAAGCCACACCCTGTCTAGTAACCAAAAAGCATTTTGAAAAGTCCATGAGGAGGCTACTTTGTCTCATCATGAATAGTAGCTTTATTTGTTGATGCTTCACAACAAAACTAAGGAGAAAGTATCCAATCAGTGTTGGCTGTGGGAGACAAAAAGAAGCCCGAATGACTCCTCATTTATGTAAGCTGCATATTACACATGTCTAACTTGCATGTCATACAATAACGGTGTGTGTATAATTTAAGCGGGTCAGCTGCTTTTCGTTTCAAAGCTGAACTCTATTAAAATATGTTCAATTTTGAAAGTTTGCTGACTTGTGGAAAGGCTGTCTGTTTTTCATTTGAAGGAGGGGGAATCTTTAGAAGAGAATGTGGACTCAAACATGGAAGCCAGGAAGGGAAAGGAAGCCCCCACAGGTCCGGGCCACCCGTGTCCTTCAGAATTTCACCGCACGAAAGGAAGCAGGTCAATGTACCTCTCCAGGCTTCTGCTTCTCCTCTCCAAGCTGTGCATCACTGAATACAGTTTTCTATTTCTTCTTTAAGCCATGGTCTCCCTGCCACAAACATCCTGAACCTTCTCCCCTCCCCCTCATTGAAGCATGTGCCAAAGCCAAAAATACAGAGCAGGTGAAGGAACAGCTGCCTATGGGTGCCTTTGAGGTAGTTTCATAGAACTCGACTTCTGGGCTTCCGGTTCTTCCTATGACAGAATAAGGCAAGGCTAGTAGGCAGCCTTGTGTCGCTGTCTCAGCTTTGAAGGAAAGGGCCTAGAACAGCACTCACGTGGTGGAAGGTGGCATCCAAGGACATTCCTAGTGTTCCTAAAGGTTAACTGGAAGACCATACACAAACAGGAGAGAAATTCATTCTAAACTACTGATAGCAATGGTTGAAATGCATACTTAGAAGTGTTCTCATACTCAAAAAAAAAAAAAAAGCTTAAGCCAAGTGATTCTACTATGAAACCTACATCTCCAGATTGTTGGTGAGGATAAAATGAACTGGTTCAGTTATGCCTCAATTTCAAAAGAGAAGCTTTAAAATCTGTGCTTCCTCAAGCTCTAAAATACTAAGCTATTTGTTCTAATGACACAGCTGACTGCAAACCCTGGGACACCACAGGAATATTACACCACTGGAAATTACTAGGTGGAGGCTTTTTTTTTTTTTTTTTGGAAAAAAAGGGGGGGCAGTGAAAGTATTGCACTGTTTTTGAGATGTATATTTGATATGAACTAATCAAGTCATTTGGGGATTCCTTTCCTGAAGGCGGAATCATTCTGCGCAGTTGCACAGTCCCTAAGTTCCCCCTTTGTTGTATTTATCTATGTATAAACAAGCCTAAAGCAGGCTAGCTTTTCCTCCAACTGAAGCTTCTACAGACAAGGCCTTTTTGTCATGGATAAGTGAGGGTCAGTCAACCTTACAAAAGGAGTTATTTAATGCTCAATTTTCCCAACTTTCCTATGATGAAAAACTCCTAACCTCAAATGCTGCCTTTCCCCCCAACCCTGCCCCAGGCTAGAATTGTTTTCTTTTCCCCTTGCCCAACTGATGCTTAAGTTATCTCCACTGTGCTGGATTCCTTCTTTCCTCTCAATCTGACCTTGAACACAGAGATGCTCTTCTGTTGTCTTAGGTATCCCCAACTACTTCAGATTGGAGGCCATCTGACCTTTTTGTGACACCCTTGTCAGATGCATCACATGTTAATCTGAAAGCCAAGAGGAGTTAAAACGTCTGGGGGTTGGGCAAAGAAAGGAAAGTAACCATATATGTGGCATCAGCTTAGAAATTTAGAAAATGTGTAACCACACCCCACTCCCACTCCCATCCCCTGCCTAGGATCCCCGCCCCCCACTGCCTCCTAGCACATTAATATCAAAAGACATGAGCAGAGGAAATCAGAGACCCCAACAGGGACAAGTTGGAGGCGGTTGCATTTGGCACCAGGCGCAGCTCCCCCACGCAGCATCCCACTGTCCACCTCTCAGCCTTCCCTGGCGACCACATCCAGCTCCCACCCCCAGCCCGGAGGTGGCCGCTGAAACTCAGCGCAGCACCGCCCATTAACGGCTAGGGTGCGACCCACGCCAGGACTGACAGCCCTGCCCGTAGCGGTGGCAGCACTGTGCACCTTAACAGTCATCTGTTCTATTTTCTTTAAAAAAAAAAGAAAGAAAGAAAAGTACATTGAGGCCTGGAATATAATAACTTGTGAACTAAATCGCACACGCAGCCCCAGAGTCCACCGCTCCCACCAACAAAAAGAAAGGGGAGAAATGAGGGAGAGGGGGAAAGGCCCATTTACCATCCTGTCCTGAGCTTTCCAGATACTCTGTCAGGTCACAGCCAAACGCGCTGGCGGCTCCCTTGCGTTTCAGCTTCTGCTTGGCACCCTTGTTCTTCATGAGTTAGTTCCGAAGAGGCTGCCCCTCCGTCTCGCCTCCCCGCTGCCTGGCACCCCGGTAAGATGGTCTCCCCGGCTCGGATCAGCCGTCGCAGCGCGGCTCTGGGGAAGAGCCGGGCCGGGGGCCCTGCGCATGGACCCCGCGGGGCGGCGGGCGGGCCGGGCCAGCCGAGTGGGAGATCCACGCCGCGCGCTCCAGGGCCGCCGCGCCGGAGGCCGTGCAGGGCTGGCAGCTGCGGCCGGCCGGCTTGGGAGTGTCACTTCCTCACTGGGAGTCCCGGGGACTTTCACAGGCTGCGGCGTCTCGGGGCGCTCTTCCTCGGTGAGGCCAGAGGGAAAGGGCGAGCTCTCCGGTCCGCCTTCCTGCCTCAGAGGCCGGGACGGGACTCGGGAGCGGGGCGCGGGGCCGCGGCGCGGGGGCCAGCAGAGACCGCCCGGGGGGCTGCTGTGGGTCCGCCGCCCTGGCCCGCGGTCGTGCCTTCAGGCGGTTTCGGGAGAGCGAAAAACAAGCATCCCGTCTCTCTCTCGCCCGCCCTCACGCCTTCCTCTTTTTTTTTCCCTGTCTTACAAATCCTAGGATCATCCAGCTCAGGAAACGCTGGAAGGAAGTTAGCTAGGGAGGGAGGGGGGCGGAGGGTGGAAATTTTTGGCAGCTCCGAGCTGCGTGTACGGAGCGGGAGGAAGTAGGTGGGTGGGTTGAGGAGCACCGGGCTGGGGGAGAGGACGCGCTCTCCTGAGAGCCCGAGCTGCCGTTCCTGAGGTGGCCGCCGGCGCGGAGAGGAAGCCGCCGCTCTCCTGAGGAGCCGCGGCCCGCGCCGCCCGCTTCCCGCCGGCGCGCGCCGCTCTTTGAAGCGCGCAGGAGGCGGTGGCCGGCCGGGTCCGCGACGGGGCGCTGCTTGGAACCTTTGCAAAGTTCTGCCTCAGCCCGGTCCTCCTTGTCATCACCTTTCTGACACGTTGCATTTATTTGGTTGTGGGGCTTTCTCCTCCACACTTCAAGGGGTAGTGACCCAAACAAAGACCATGTTCCAGTGCAGGAACCTGACGGGCAGCGGTTTTCCGCGACCACACCCCGCCTCCGGCCCGGCCGCTCTCGCCCGTGACCTCGGGTCCCGCGAACCCCGGGCCAGGCGGGGGACGCCGATACCCCTTAGCAGCCAGAGCTGCAGCTGGGTAACCGCTGCCCAGGAAATCAAATTTCTGCTTACAGATTCAAGTTCACACACACATACATTCGAGGGTTCCTGCAGAGTCCGCTGACTGGAAGTGAGTTTGGAGGGGAGAAGGCAGCATTCGAGACGCCTCTGAGACCCTAACATTGTATGAATAGAGCAGTTCTCCAGGTTGTTTCATAATTTTTTTTTTCTTTTTTGGAGGGGCGTTGTTTCATAATTTGTCTCGAGTTGTTTCGGGAAAGCGTGTTTTTTCTTCTCTAGTGAGATTTGAAATTCCTTCACTTCTGTGTACTCAGCACACAGTAAGCACTCAGATTCTCGTGATTTAACCATTTGAGGATTAGATTGAACTTCCTGTGTGAGTCCAAATCCATATATAGCCTTGAAGGCTAGGGACGTTAATACAGCCCGGATTGCTGGCAAACAGCTTTCTGTAATGGGATTTTAGTTACTGAATTCCTTAACGGGCACTTAACTCACTGGGCATCACTGGGACACCTTATGAACTTTGATCCTTGACCTTGCTCTGTGTCAGGTCCCAACTTCATAGCCAGCCTGCCAAATCTGGCCCACAGATGTGTTTGGTTTGGCACATGTTGTGCTTCAAAAATTTTAAAAATTAATAGCCAGCATTAAAGCGTTAAGAGGGTCTCCCCAAATGGATCTGGAATCTGCCTCTCTTGTGCAAATGGAAGATCTGGTTACACCACAAGTGGTAAGGACCACTGATGCCAAGTTGTGGCAGTCCCTGGGAGGCAGCTCTTCATAAATGAGCCTTCTAGTCCTGTCCTCCTGACATCTGTCTTCCCCTAACCCACCTGGGCGCCTGCCTGGGGCCCAAAGCCACTTGAGTTTGCACCCCAATTTCTGTGGATGTTGTCACCTTCTTGCCATTTCCTGTCCTTCTCTTACTGACACCAGCGTTGACCCAGTCGTCTTGGCTAGACGCCTTCAAGTAACCACTGACTCACTTCACTCCTTCCACCGCCACCTCCAGGCTGCTCCAACCCAGACTGATGAGTCGTTCCAGATACCTCCCAGCCGGGTCTCTCTTTCCCGGATAAATTCAGCAAGGATCACCCATCCCTCAGTGACCAGATTCACCCACAGTGGGCTTCACTGAGTCCAGTCTCCTCAAAACCTTCCAGTCCTGCTTGATGAAAGCTGCTGGGAGAATACTGATATATTTAGTATAAAGGCTTGTTCCTTCCGGTCTGGGTAGTGGACAGATCTCTGCATGAGACTACAATTTTTACTAGTAACATTGGTTTAAGAGTCCACTTTAGCAATGATTTCATCTTCATTATTGCAATTGGCCTACAATGAATTTAATCACATTCTGAGTAAAGAAAGGAGATTGAAGAGGTACTTTTTCTCCCCCTGAGGGTAGGCCCCCAGGTCACAAATTGTGGAGCATTTATCAGGTTTTGTAAATTACCTTTATTAAAAATTATTTTTGGGTTCAGCGCAATAGCCTAGTGGCTAGAATCCTTGCCTTGAATGTGCCAGGATCCCGTATGGGCTTCGGTGTTATAATCCCTACAGTCCCACTTCCCATTCAGCTCCCTGCTTGTGGCCTGGGAAAGCAGTTGAGGATGGCCAAAAGTGTTGGGACCCTGCACCTGCATGGGAGACCCAGAAGAGGCTCCTGGCTCCTGGCATCAGAGTGGCTTAGCTCCAGTCATTGCGGCCACTTGGGGAGTGAACCATCTGACAGAAGATCTTCCTCTCTATCTCTCCTCTTCTCTGTATATCTGTCTTTCCAATAAATAAATCTTTTTAAAAATGTATTATATCTATGATATAGTTTTATAGGTATAGGGACTCTCCCCTCTCCCCCCTCCTCCTGTGTTATCACAGTATTATGGTCCTACAGTAACAGTTTCAAATGGAACATTCTGCTACCCACCTGCACCATGGAATTGTAGATACAGACAAAGGCAGAAAATCTAGCATCATATTATTGAAGTATATTTCACTGGGAGTCCTCCCTTTACTGTAAGGTATCTTTACTTCCAAGTATGCTAGCCTCCATTATATAGTTCACCTATGAAAAAAAATATATCTATATACATGTTCACCTAAATCTATTTGTTTTGTAGTTTGCATGAATGTTGCTTTATATCACAGAAAACATATTTATTCTTTTGGCTAATTTCACTGAGCATAACAGTCTGAAGTTGGGACCATTTTGTTGCAAATGGTAGAAGCTCATTCTTTTTATTCGCTAAGTAGTATTCCATGGAGTAGATACATCTCAGTTTCTTTATCCATTCCTCTTTCAACAGGCATCTGGGTTGTTTCCATGTCTTCGTTATTATAAATTGTGCTGCTATAAATATAGGGTTGCAGGTCGCTTTCTCATATACAGATTTCAGTTCCTTTGGATATATTCCTGAGAGTTTCATCTGGGTCTCCCACATGGGTAGTATGGGTCATCTTCTGTGGCTTTTCCCTGGCTGGTAGCAAGGAATTGGATTGGAAGTGGAGCAGCCAGGAACATAAACTGTGCTTTGGTTAGGATGCCTGTATCCCAGGCAGCTGACCGTCTTTGCACAATGCCAGCCCTTACCTTTTAAATCTTTTCATGTTGAATTAATTTCAGCTTATAAAAGATTTGCAGAAGACAGTCAAAGGATTCCTATTTATTCTTGTCTTACTTCCTCAAATAATAATAACTCATGTAATGAAAGAAAAATCATGAAATTCAGGAATTTTTACATTTATACAATAATATTGACCAATCAACAGATGTTATGCAAATGAAAATTAATTTTAATTACATAACACTTATTAAGTGTGGGCTCTCCCAGTGAAGTTTGGAAGCTGTGATAAAATGAGTAATTCCCAAAATATTTTGAAGTCTAATGTAAGCTGTGTATAAGATCCCCATGAAGCAGATGCAGTTTGTCAAAAAAAAAGAAAAAAAGAAAAAAATCAGATGCCTGGGTAGACTACTAAGCTAGTGATATTAACCCAGCCCCGAGATTCCTTCACTGTACATAGGGTTTTTCTAGAGGATTCTGCCATCATAAACTTTTCCACCTGGAACTGTTCCAGAGCCCTTTTGGTCTCTATCTTGTGATAAGGGATTATAAGTTGTTATGGGTTTGAAGGTGGAGGTAATAATATTGAGTAGTTCACAAGGGGTCCATTATGCTGTATGGACTGGACAAGCCTTATTTGAAACATTCGCATGAAGATCTGTTGTTGTTTTTGAGAAGTCTCAGACATCTGCACTGAATGGGGGGTACATTAGCACATTCTTACGCCAGACCATGAAATCACGTGGTCTTTGAACACTCACTGTTCCAAACATGAATCTCATCCTTGTGCTGGATGCTTTTATTTGATTCTTCTTTCTCTTTCCTTCATCTACTTATCTCTTTGTCTTTGCATTTTTCTTCTTACTCTAAGATTCTTTTCTGGGTCTTAGAAATAAAATCAGATTTGGGTTTCAGAGGGTTTTTTCCTCAGGCTGTGCATTTCCTAGAAAACCAAGGTATATGGAGATAGTGTAGGGGAATGCTAATTGAAGAAATGATAGTGCTACTTGGTGATAATAAAAATCATGCCTTTAACAGATTGTCATGGTTCTAATTGACAGGAAAAGCACTCACGTTGCCTGTGATCTCTCTTATCTGCACTGTTGAAGACAGACAGCTGTCAAAGTGTTCCATCTGCTTCCTTCATCGCCTGCGATGGTAGCAGTATTCCCTGCTGTAAGTAAGTAGATGCGGTAATATAACTAATATGTTTGTAACAAGAGACAGAGCAGATATTGGAAGGCTGTAGTGCCACCCATGATCTAAGCTATTCTTTTACCAAATTGATCTCGTAGTGAGGTAGTATAGGCAGCTAGTTTAGGGTCAGGAGCTTGGAAGCCACTCCCCCTCCACCACCTAGGTATTCCCTCCTGACCACCTGTGATGCTCACCTATCATCACCTGGAACCTCACAGGGGGTGGTATTGTATTGTTGTGTAACCACTCCCCTATAAAGGCTCATGAGAGGGAGGGCTTCTTTCTCTTGATCATATACCTCCATCTCTCTAGCACTGTTGATTCTTGGTTTTCCCAGTACCTGCTGCCTGTGGACAGACTAAGGGCAGGTATCCTCTGAGCAAGGCCTCTGTGTCTATATTCCTCACCCTCTGTTCACTGCTTGGGTGGGACAGTAAAGATAGCAATGCTAAGATGCTTTACATTTCTGATATGTATACTATCAAGAAGAGTTCCAGGAGAGGTGAGGCCTAGCAGTAATGAAATATGGTCAGAGAAGCCAGGAAAATGTGACTGTCTGCAGCTTTGTAAGTGTGTCCAA